GGCAGGGGAGAGGCCCGCCCACGCCCCGCCCCCTCCGGGCCGTCCTCGCCACGCCCCCTCCGTGGCAGTCCCGGGCCGCGCGCTGGGCCGGGATCTGCGGCTGCTGGCGAGCGGAGCAAGCGCTTCCACGGCGCGGCGGGATTGTTCGGGAAAGAGCCCTGGCGAGAAAGCTGGCCGGAAACGCCCCACTCGGAGGGCTTTCTTCCAGCCAAGTGCAGCCAGGAGAGGGGTCCTCCGAGCCGGCGTCTCTGAAGCTGCAGTCCTCGCGGAGCTGGACTTGGCCTCCACCCTTCCGAACTCCCGATTCTCTCTAGACTTCCCCAAACATTCCCACAGTTCCCCCACCCGAGTGCTCGCCGCTTGTGGCTCTCTCTCTCTCTCCAAAGCTTAGTCGGCCATTTCGTACCCCACTGGCCTCTTGGATGCTTACAGGACTTAGTATCTTCATACACAATTACTACTTCATCAGGCTGGGTCTTGCTTGCACTAATTGCTCTACCGTGTGTTTTGTGTATGTTTCTGTCTACTATAAGAGAACCGGAGGACGCCACCGCTTATATTTCTCGGGTAGCTTCTGATCTGGGGCTAGGCACACGTGAGAGAGTCCACGATCCTTGCGAGTGTATCACAGGTCGCACTGTGGGGGTTCAGTCCACAGGTCGCAGCGGCCATTCCCCTCCAGCGAGTGGCTCTGTTCCATCTCCACAAGTGTAGGCAACAGATGCTGCAGCATCTTTCAATCAATGCTGGTTGCACTCCTGAATCGGTTCCATAGCTTCTATCAAGTCGGATGATAGTTAAGAAAAATTCTAGGAATTTTTTTTTTTTTTGCCAGCTGGCAAGATGCTACCCCGGGCTTAGCTTGAACAGGTGGCCTCTGGCAAGCCTTCCCGCCTCACACACACACACGAAAAAATAAAATGCATACCCTGCCAACCCGCAGTAGAGGACCTTCAGTGTGTGTGCTCAGCTAACAACCTGGTGAAAGGAAAAAACGCCCCTCTCACCGCCCTCCACCTTGCCTTTGGAAGTCATTTCTTGGGCATCTACCGCCATCTAATGGAGACAGTGAAAAAAACCGAGATCTGCCAGAGCCCAATATGTTGAGTTACTGGCAGGCAGAGTATTTCAGTTATTTTATAGCGGCTTTCCACACACACAAAAACACACACACAAATCATGGCCGCTTTACAAGAGTTAATTTAAACTTCAGTATAATCGCAGGGCGCCTAGGTGGCTCAGTCGTTAAGCGTCTGCCTTCCGCTCAGGTCATGACCCCAGGGTCCTGGGATCAAGCCCCGCATCGGGCACCCTGCTCAGCCGGAAGCCTGCTTCTACCTCTCCCACTCCCCCTGCTTGTGTTCCCTCTCTCGTTGTGTCTCTCTCTGTCAAATAAATAAATAAAATCTTTTAAAAAAATAAACTTCAATGTAATCACAAGATTTGGGCACAAATATAAATTTTCAAGCCTAACGTTCTCATTTTGTCTAGGATAGAACAAGAAAAACAGGTGGAGGTGGAAACCAAGAGCGGATTGGCAATCTCTAAAAATTATAACCACTTTCTTAGTTTCCACCTAATATTCCTGCTCATTTCACAAGGAGGATCTCTGAATTGAGGGCTGCCTTTAAACAAGCAAGAACCCAGGCGCCTGGTGGCTCAGTTGGTTAAGCAACTGCCTTCATTCAGCTCAGGTCCTGATCCTGGGGTCCTGGGATCAAATCCCACATCAGGCTCCCCCTGCTCTGTGGGGAGCCTACTTCTCCCTCTCCCTCTGCCTGCCACTCCCCTTGCTTGTGCGTGCACTCTCTCTCTCTCTCTGTCAAATAAATAAATAAATAATCTTAAAAAAAAAACAAACATGCAAGAACCCTATCACAAAAGGCAAATTCTGAATTAAGTCTTACAGTGTTGTGCCAAAATGCTATGCCACTGCAGGGACAAACTTACTATAAGACACACAGAAAGCATCACTTAAAAAAAAAGATTTAGGGGCGCCTGGGTGGCTCAGTTGTTGGGCGTCTGCCTTCAGCTCGGGTCATGATCCCAGGGTCCTGGGATCGAGCCCCGCATCGGGCACCCTGCTCAGCCGGAAGCCTGCTTCTACCTCTCCCACTCCCCCTGCTTGTGTTCCCTCTCTCGCTGTGTCTCTATCTGTCAAATAAATAAATATTAAAAAAAAAAAGATTTATTTATTCATTCGAGAGAGAGAGCTTGCACACACAGAGAGGGAGAAGCAGACTCCCCACTGAGCAGGGTGCCGGATGTGGGACTCAATCCCAGGACCCGGGGATCATGACCTGAGCTGAAGGCAGACATTCAACTGACTGAGCCACCCAGGCGCCCCAGAAAGCATCACTTTTTAGTGAAAATATATTAAGCTATGAACATAACAGACATTAACTTATTAGATATCTTTTAAAATCCTGGAAGTAGAGGCACCTGGCAGGCTCAGTTGGTAGAACCTGCAACTTTTGATCCCAGGGTCATGAGTTCAAGACCCACACTGGACAAAGAGATTACTTATAAAAAAAAAAAAAAGAAAAAATCCTGAAAGTAATTTAAAATCCGTGTTTTCTCATCCATATCATATTTGAAATACCCATTGGTGGGTTACATTAGGCACCACTGAAATCATATGAGAGAGATCCTACATTCTGACATTTTCAAATGAACACTGAAGAGGTATAAAAGGACTAGAAGCATTTACATCCTATGGAAGCCAAAGGACAATTTGGTGTGGAGCTAGGTGAAGTGGAAATTTGGGGGATTGCAAATTTGGGAAAATAGTGAAGTCACTATTAGAATACTTAACTTTGGTACACTAGGTGCAAATCTGATATAAAGAGGCAGTTTGTTCAGTATTTTACTTTTATTATTTTACAGGAAAGCACTTTCCACTGGAGTACGTCCAAACCAGCATCTGGCACCTGGGGAAGTGAGAGTTTGAACATACTGCACATGAAATATAAATAAAATTTAGAGAATTGTTGGTGCAGCAGGCCTTGGTTAGAAGCCAAATAGTGCAGCTGCCTTTTAAAGGGGTGTGGAAAGAGGAGATTTGCAATGGAAATGATTCCAAAATCATAATTCTAGTGGGTGTTTTTTTCAAGAAGCCCAAGGAGACTCATTTGACTTCCTGTAAAGAATAGCCAACATCCTTTGGCTTGTGAAAAGCACTCTCTCTGCTTATGCAGTTCAAGAGACCCACTTATAGATAATGTCCCTACTGGTATTTAGCTAGTTATATGAGTTGACTGGCTATTCTTTTTTTTTTTTTAAGATTTTATTTATTTGTCAGACAGAGAGAATGAGCACAAACAGTGGGAGCAGCAGAGGGAGAGGGAGAAGCAGGCTCCCCGCCGAGCAGGGAGCCTCAATCCCAGGACCGCCGAGCCGAAGGCAGACGCTTAACCAACTGAGCCACCCAGGCGTCCCACTATTCTTTTTTTTTTTTTTAAGGTTTTATTTATTTATTTGAGAGAGAGAGCATGAGTGGGAAGAGGGGCAGAGGGAGAAGGAGAAGCAGACTCCCCACTGAATGGGGAACACCACTCTGGGCTCGACAATGGGCTCGATCCCAGGACCCTGAGATCATGACCTGAGCCGACAAAGTCAGACGCTTAACGGACTGAGGCACCCAGGCGCCCCTGGCTATACATATACACAGATATATGTCACCTTTAAGACTTTTAAATCACATTCCTTGGTCTTCAGGTATAGTAACATATGTGCACAAAGATGTGTGTATACAGATATTTCCTGATACACTGGTGAAATCAGAAAAAGACTGGAAAATTGGAAAGAGCCAAACTGTGTATCAACAAAGATGATTAAATCATACCACATTCATCATTTGAAATACAATCTATTCATTGAAAAGAACGAAAATTCAATGTACACTGTATTAGTCTATGTTCTTCAAAAAACAGAACCAATATCTATAGGGATTTATTATAAGGAAATGGCTCATATGATTAGGGAGGCTGAGAAGTCCCAAAATCTGCGGTCAGTGAGCTGGACTTAGGAGAGCTAATAGTAGAGTTCCAGGCTAATTCCAAAGGCCTGAGAACCAGGAGAGCTGAAGGTGTGAGTTCTGTCTGAATCCAAAGGCAGGAGAAGACCTATGTCCCACCTTGAAGACAGGCAGAAGAGAACAAAATCTCCCTTACCTCACTTTTTTGTTCTGTTCAGGCCTTCCTCCAATTAAATGAGGCACACATGGGAGAGGGCAATCTCCTGATTCACATGTTAATCTCATCTAGGAATGCCCTCACAGACACACCCACCCTAATGTTTAACCAAATATCTGGGCACCCCGTGTCCCAGTCAAGTTGATACATAAAATTAAACATCACAAGTCAACCCCTTGTCAACTTGGCACCCATATGAATCTCCTTAAACCATGCTTACTCTCCAAATAAAGACAATAACAAGATCATAATTCCACCTAACATGATACAAATATCCTGTGTAGAACCAAAAATGGACTAACCCTTTCCCCATAAAAAGAGATAAAGTCCTTCAGTGATATTTACTCTTCTCCTTCTCCTGTAACTTGAATACAATAATGTTAAATTAACAATCCTTAAATACATCTTATATTACAAGTGAATAAAAGAGGGAA